AAATTTTAATTAAAAGAGATATTATTTTCTTTGCTCCTCTCTCTCTCTCTACTTCATTAACGGCGTGATTACTTGGTCTAGAAAAGTAAATATACAAGTTCTCCCTGAATATTTCCTACACACGTATAATATCTGTTGTTCTGATAGTGACCTGGTTTTTTGTTACCTATATATGGAGGAGGCCTGGTCACAGACCGGGCCGCGGGGGCGTTGACCCCCGGAACTCTCTCCAGGTAAACTCCAGGTAATACAGGAGGGCCCCGTTATACAGCAGGTTAGGCTCCGGGCTACTTCTGTAAAGCCAAAATCGCTGTAAAGTGAAACATAGCCTTTCGTCACTTTCAAATGCATATAAAAACCTGATTACGTGTTTACACTATCATATATTGAGTAACAGAGCGAGGCCTCAAAAATGCATGTACAGTACACACATTAATTTCGTTCTTAGCTTATAGTGAGTGGTGAATATATATATTGTATGAATACTAAATAAATAAATACAAGTCTAATTGAAAACCTCTGCATTAGCGAACTACCATAAAGTGTGCTGTAAAGTGGGGCCTGCCTGTACAATGTATTAAATTACTTTTTACATTTGTTTACCGAAGGCGCATGAGTAATGTATGGGGAACTATGATTAACGAAAAAGTTCGCACACCAGGGTTAGGCTTCTAAAATCCATCGTATTGAAGTAACCTCTGGTGAGCCAAATGTCTCATAATTCAACGGTCCCAATGCGTTGCGCTTGTGTCTTCTTTAAACAATTCTCCATATTATTCTGATTCCATTCTCCGCAAGTCGACGGCGCAGCAAGACGACGTCGGAGTTTTCACTCTGAACACTATTACTCAAAGTTACATTTTTGGATTATCATGAGTTCTTCAGAGCCGAAAGGAAGCTTGCTTGCTGTTACTTCGAGCAGCATCCCATCAAGAGGGCGAGGTGGTGACTAGCTTGCTTCTCCCTCTCACCCCATCACTCCTCCACCTCATCCAACCCCATCCTACCCCCCTTCAATACCCCAACCATTACACTGCCCTAACCACAACACACTATTTACACTGCTGTTCTTCTACCTTTCCTGTCTTCTTTTTCGGCAACTTCGCCTATGGCGTTTTAAAACAAGGTAAGGTGACTATCCAATAGACCGTGTGGACTATTGGATAGTCACCTTACTACTCACCTTGCTAGTCACACCTTACCCTCTCACTCCTCGAGGGTAGTCTATGTTAGGAGCTGACCTTCATAAGTCAGCTGAAGTAGGAATGTGGGGCATTTAGGAAAGTTCTTCTTTTTTCCAGCGTATTATCTGGAACAACCTTATCTTAACTGGTCATCATGCCCAATACAAAACTCAGACCTCAGGTCACTGACGGCCAGAAGTCCAAAAAGGAAATTTTAGGCTGCATTTGTACTAATGCCACGGTTATACCGGTGGATATATTTCAGACCCACTCTGGTGCAGTACTACTTCTCTCCTCGGAATAGGAGATACTCCAATTATTAAAGAAAAATGTTCTCGAAAAACTCCTCAATGAGGGTATCACCATCATTCCCCCAGACAACTTCCAGGTCCAGCGTTCTGTGTTTCTTGCACACGTCAACAACTTCATGCGTGAAAATTCTGCTGAAGAACTCGTGGAGATAAACAGTGCAAACTCCGAGATCACCGTCCTTAAGGCTATGTATAAGTTTGCAAAGAACTCGAACAAACAACAGTCTCTAAAATTAATTCTCGAGACGCCAGAAGACGCTAAACTCATCTGTGCCAACGGTTTGAGATGCTATGGTACCAAATGCACACCTGACCAAGTATCTATGGAAAGGTTTGTGAACATTACTCAGTGCTTCAAATGCTATGGTTTCGGCCGTAATATAAATAAATGCACCAGTGCAGAAACAGTCTGCAATATCTGCCCAGGAGAACATGTTTACAGAGAATACACCAACAGGAGCAAACCCATGTGTGTCCTTTGTGGTGGGTAACATCATGCTGTCTCCCCTAGTTGCCCTATTAGGAAATCCACAGTCCAGAAAAGTCTGGAAGACAAGAAATTGGCAAATGCCAAGAAAACTACTCCAACAACACTACATATGCAGTCCCGAGAATCCTTCCCCAATCTACCGAGCTCTGGCAGGGCATCTACTGCCTCCTCTACCAACAGCAATGTATGGACCTCCTCTACTTCCCAACTCCGCCAACGTAACCCTGGTATGCAACAAGCCCAAGTCCACTCTCCTTCCCTATCTCCCCAGGGTCTATACAAGAAGTAATGAAGGGGACTCTGATGTACATGATGGCCCGTGACATGGCACGGGGTGATGACCAGCTTTGCTTTACCATCATCAAGGAGCTGTTATTAGCAAATGGAGCCTCAGCTATAATCGTCCCAGATACAGTGTGCTCATTAATGAGTTCCTCCCCTCAGCCCGGAGTGAATGTACCCCCAAACACCCACATCTGTTCAAACCCCTCCCCCAACGGGGAAGAAACAACCCCTGCACCTGCACCAGTCACTGCACAATCCGCCGCCTTAGAGGATGACCCCATCGACCAATCAGGTTCCATTGCCGCTCTGAGTGATGCAGCTACTGGGCATCCAGCTCAACTCACCCTTGTACCCTTCCACGAAGAGAACCCAGTGTCTCCCAGCACCGAGGTGGATGGAAATGATGACCCAATGCACACTGGGAACGAGGAAACTGATGTATCTGTAGATTCAGATGATGAGCCTGTTCCGTCAGCTAGTGCATCGAACACCAGCAGTATTGATGATGTCCAACATTTCTGTTCTCAGAGAACCACTCAGAACTACAGCCTCCCTTCCCCTAATGAATCGAGCAGAGAAAGCACGCACACACCAGGTGGCTATAACCTTAGACCACAATACTCTTCACACAGCATTAACTCAAAACACTCTAAATACTGGGAAGTTATCTCCTGAATAGATAGGAGACTGGGTAACACCTGAACCATTCTATGTCCTCCAAGGATAACAATACCCCAATTTATTGAGACTTTACTTGAAACAGTCTATGTCTTACAACTAACCTTGTATCATATGCAAACATTCTACTCAAGACATCACCTCAGAAAAGGCTAAGCCAACTAACAACTCCAAGAAAGCAGCCAAACTCCACTGAGTGCCTTGCAACCAGAAACTTCAGCAAGCGTTCTAGAACCTTCCTCTTGCACCAAAGAAATAGCCATTGCAAGAAGTATACCTCCTTCCAACTCAGCAACATGCAAGTATACATGCAAGTATAACTGTGTGCAGCTGATGGGAAGTGGAGTATACCCCATCCTATGAATTATATGTATTCATGAAAAACACCACACACACACACATACACACACATACACACACACCCACATACACACACACACACATACACACACACACACACACACATACACACACACATACACACACACACACACACATACACACACATACACACACATGCACACACATACACACACACACACCCACACACACATACACACACACACATACACACATAGACACACACATAGACACACACATACACACACACACACACCTGTTTGGAACCCGCACTTGATAAAGCACGTCAAGAAACTAGAGAAAGTACAAAGGTTTGCAACAAGGTTAGTTCCAGAGCTAAGGGGAATGTCCTATGAAGAAAGATTAAGGGAAATCGGCCTGACGACACTGGAGGACAGGAGGGTCAGGGGAGACATGATAACGACATATAAAATACTGCGTGGAATAGACAAGGTGGACAAGGACAGGATGTTCCAGGGAGGGGACACAGAAACAAGAGGCCACAATTGGAAGTTGAAGACACAAATGAGTCAGAGAGATAGTAGGAAGTATTTCTTCAGTCATAGAGTTGTAAGACAGTGGAATAGCCTAGAAAATGACGTAGTGGAGGCAGGAACCATACACAGTTTTAAGACGAGGTTTGATAAAGCTCATGGAGCGGGGAGAGAGAGGGTCTAGTAGCAACCGGTGAAGAGGCGGGGCCAGGAGCTAGGACTCGACCCCTGCAACCACAAATAGGTGAGTACAAATAGGTGAGTACATACACACACAGATACACACACACACACACACACACACACACACACACACACACACACACACACACACACACACACACACACACACACTGGAACAAGAGTGGGAGAGAAAATTAGGAGAGCTTTCTGAAAAAAATGGAGAAAGAGCTCTCTGTGAAATTGGAAAAGAGGTTGGAGAAGGAGACAAAGAATTGGGAGGCACAAGTCGAAACTGCAGTAGCCAAGATAAGGGTCCTAGAAGTTGAGATAAATAGGCTGAAGCGAGTTACAGGGGCAGTGACCAGAGAAGACACAGCATATGAAGCTGCGAGGCCGAACAGGAAGGAAGGAATTATGAATTATGCTAAGGTCATATCAGTCTGCCAAGGAGGACCAAGGAGTGAAAGGGAAGATCAGCTGGTTGCAGATGGAGAAGGTGATAGGTCGAATGCTGAGGCACAACCAGGCTATCAAGAGCCACTGGAAAAATCAAGGGAGAAACTGACCACATACAGGCAGGATCCAGAGTCACAGAGGGTGAGGCAATGGGAGGAAGAAAGGGCAAAATCAGTGTTTATCCATGGGCTTCAGGAGAGAGAGGAAAGGACACACACTGAAAGGCAGCAGGAAGAAAGAAAGGAGATTGAGAAAATCATCACGAAAATAGGTGAAGAGATGGACGAGATTGTAAATTTTCAGAGAATAGGGGGGTACTCGAAGGGGAGAAACCGACCAATCAAGCTGATTCTCAGGACGGAAACAGTGCGGAACAGGATCCTCCAAGAGAAACCACGATTGAAATACTCGGAAGAGTACAAGAGGGTGTTCCTAGACAGAGACAGAACAAAATCAGAACTACAGCAGCTGAGGGAGAGGACAAAAAAGCGAAAGGAGCTAGGAAAAGAGACAAGGAGGGAACCAGCAGAGGTCAGTCAGAGCAGAACAGAACAGCAAG